TAATGCACAATAATTTATGAAATACAATAAACAAGAACAGAAATGAGAAATAAGATATGAATGGATTGGAGTGTTCATTAAAGAAAAATTGTAATAGGTAAACCTTAGAAGATAAAGTCAGTTAAAGCAATGAAACAAAATCAGAACAACTTGCTAAAAAAAACTACTCTTTTCCCAAGACAACAAAAAATTTTAGACACTGATTCTAACCTCTTCGCAATAGATTACATGGTTCGGACTCTGAGGCTGAATGGGGTGAGCCAGATGACCCCCAAACACATGAGGTTCTCCAGTACCACTACCTGCTCTGGAAAGACTTTATTGCTCCTGAACACCCTACTGGAGTACTCTCCTTCCTGCGGCGTATAAATGAGGCCTATTCACATGACCAAGGGCCGCTCTTGGTCATTGCAGGTAAAGTTCCTTATTGCTTTGTTATTACTGTTATAGTATTTTTATTTTTAAAGCTTTCGTTAATGATCCATTTTTGCGAAATTTGTGAACAATAAAATCAGTTAGATGAAATGATCCCCTTTATTATATTACTTTACTTATATTTCATATATCTAGTACATATGAAATACCTCAGCTATTGGGGAAAGCAATTTAGATTTGAAAATGTTTCAAGAATATTTATGTTTTTTAACATTTTTGTTCTCCATGCAGTGCTGGAGTAGGGCGAACAGGAACTTTAGTGGCTTTAGACTCTCTGGTGATGGAGCTGGATGAAGAAGGTCAGGCCTCAATCTTCAACTTCATTTGTGATTTGCGGCATCAGAGAAACTTCCTCGTACAGTCCCTTGTGAGTTCTGAAAGAGTGTAATAAGCTGTTGTGTGATAGACAGGGTACTGTGGGATATTTTTCCCATGTACAATTTCTTTTGTGCAGTATTCATAAATTTAGATTAGTTCTGCATAATTCTGTTAACAGAAAGCACATGGGAATAATATTGAGAAAAAAAAGTCATGATCATACTAGAGTTGCTCAAAGTTATCATTCAATATGTTTAGAGAGAAATAGATTTGTGATGCCAGGATGTGTTATCTCAACAGAAACAGTATGTGTTCATCCACCGTGCACTAATGGAGTACAGCCAGTTTGGAAACACTGAGCTTACCATATCTCAGCTGAAAGAAGTTTACAGCAACCACACACACCATGACAGTTTAGATGATTCGTCGCCCCTTGAGAAGGAATTTGAGGTAAGGGGCTATTCTTTCTTTCCTTCTGTCTGTCTGTCTGTCTGTCTGTCTGTCTGTCTGTCTGTCTGTCTCTGTGTCTGTCTGTCTGTCTGTCTGTCTGTCCGTCCGTCCGTCCGTCCGTCCGTCCATCTGTCTTTCTCATTTACTATCCTTAGAATTATGATTGCTTCAGTGTGTTGAGATTTGAAGAGAGAAAGCGAGATGGAGATATTCATGATCTGAGTTGGGTTACCTTTTAATTTGTTCTGTTAACACCATATATGTTTGATTATTTTTTTTGTGTGTGTGTTCTTATAGTATGTTCTCTTTTTCACAGCGGCTGGTAAGGTAGTAGAAGATAGAAAAGCTTTTGCTATTGCAACAAGTGAAGAGAATAAACCCAAGAATAGGTATGACTTCTTGCTGCCATATGATAACAATCGTGTTATCCTTGCACCACTGCCTACCAAACCATCATCTACTTACATCAATGCCTCCTTTGTTACGGTTAGTTGAGAACAAAAGAAACACATGGGGTTCTTTGAGCTGTATTTTGAATTTGTAATGAGATTGTTTTATGTCTTTAGTTACATTACTTCAATAGTTGTGAACAAAGATTTTCTAATAATTTCTATATCAAACAGGGTTATGATCTGGCTGAGTCATTTATAGTCACTCAAGACCCAATGGAGAACACAATTGCAGACTTCTGGAGAATGGTGTTTGACCAAGAAGTTACAACCATTGTCATGCTGTCTGAGGTTAGAAAATTTGAGTTTTGCTTGTCTGCTTTTGTCTCCTATCATTCTCTCTGTTTTTTTTATATACATATGTTTTTTATTATTATTTTGTCTATAAACTCATGCACTGGTGACAGTTGTCCAATGTAGTTTACTTTGATTTTGTAACTTTGCCACTAAGTATTCCAGTGCCAGTGTAACAATAGAAATATTTAAGCTTTTTGTCATTGCATACTTTACATTTCTCTGCCATATTGTTTACAATTTACATGGATTAGTGGCAAATGCATGGCACAGGGGATGTGACATTAGTTACAATTATGTGACTGATATTGTCACATTGTTACTTTAAAAAACTCTTGATAGATCAAGAAGAGTGGGGAAAGTGATAAAGGACAATAATGATAGGTATTTAGGAAAAAAGAGAATATAAGAAGGGAATAGTTAAAAGTAACCTAATGTAATTTTATAACTGAAATTGGAAACTGATATATGGATTTTTTCAAACTGTTGTTTATTAATGTTAGTTGCCAATAGTTGCAGTTAACAGTATAGGAAAACAGACCAAAGGAAGTGTCATTCTATGCTGAAATTCAAGCAGTTATTATTATCTTTTATTCAATATTAATATTTGTTAATGGTCTCAGTGTTCTTCTAGTTTTTCACCAGTCCTGGGAAAGATACTCAGAAATGTTTTTTGCTCAGTCACTGGGTGCTGTATTCATGGTTACTACACACTTACAATTTTTGCATAATGTGTTCAAGGGTCCTGATATATTGTAGCATTATCCTGCTGCAACCATGTACATGCTCTCTGAAAGTCAAAAGATACATAACATACCCAAAAGAAAAAGGAGGGGAAAAAATGTATGTATACATGATTTTTCCTTGATGTAGTCTATTACTTCTCGTGCTAATCAGTTTGCTGGCTATACGCCAATGTTGAAAGGCTGTGATATATTTTGTTGTTGATAATGTGTGGCGCCTTAGATATCCTTCAGCTCTTTCAGCTTTCATTGATGCTTGAATATCAGCCCGGTGTGATACTATTTCAATGCTGGTTTTCTTTACTAAAACCATGGCCTGAGGTTTGTTTTCCACAGTAATATATTTTGATGCTACTAATTATTTAGTCACTTGTTATTGCAACTAAAGCTTGCTATTAGCATTGTAGTTTTTAAGTTTTTTTCTATATGAAGATTACTACAAAGATGATGATCAAAATTTACTTTTTGATATTCCCACTAGGTAACTTGGTCAGGTAAATTAATTAGAAAGTTTGTGTTTGTGATTTGACTTCTTTTTGAGTTTGGCTGGGTCTTGGCAATTTTATTAACATAACATTTTTTTCTTGCATAAGGTTGAAGTGTGTGTCCCTATTCATATTACTTTATCTGAATTTTGTCTCTTGCAGTGGGTTAGGTGGCAGTATTTATTTGTAAAATGGGAGTTATCTTTCAAACTATTATCTCTGAAATCTGTCCTATTGCTAAGCACAGTTTCACCATATATTTGTCATTTAGTTTGTAGCTGAGGAAATCCAGGAAAGCACATGATGATTTATTATGTATTTCGATTTGGTATGCCTTTTGAGAATTTTTTTCAGGTCACTGTTGACGTAGCTGTATTTTTTGTTTGGAAGTGAGCACCCAAAAGGCATCTGCCTGAACCATATGTCTGTTATCTTTTATTTTTGTCTTTCAGTTAAATTTGCTATCAGTTCAGTAAATTTGTGATCTTTGTCTCATCTGATATAGTTCATTTTATTGAGTACAATAAGAAATAGGACAGCATAATTCATATTGATTATATTACAATATGAAGTAATTTAGCTTCGAATGTGATTACTTTCATGTAGAAAGGGAGATGAAGACCCCCTTTCATTGCTGAAGTATGTTTTCCTTGACATTAGTCTGGAAATCAGTCAAATATAAACAGTATTTTATTGCTGCGTATACCCTGTGACACAGACAGACACAGACATGCATGCTCACACATGCACAGACGTGCACACAGACATAGACACGCATGCTTACACATGCAAAGACACGCACACAGACATGCATGTGTACACATGCAAAGACAGGCACACAGACATGCACACACGCAGTGACACACACATACTCTCACACTTACACTCTTACACTCATTTATTCACGCTCTTATACTGCACACAGACATGCACATACACACTCATTGCACTCTCACTCACTCACTCACTCACTCACTCACTCACTCACTCACTCACTCACTCACTCACTCACTCACTCACTCACTCACTCACTCACTCACTCACTTACTAATACTTAAACACAGTTACTCACTCACTCATACACTTACTCCCTCACACTCTGTTCTCATTCACTTACACACAAACTCACTCACTCACACTGACACACTCACACTGACACACTCTCACTCACTCACTCACTCACTCACTCACTCCACTCACTCACTCACTCACTCACTCACTCACTCACTCACTCACTCACTCACTCACTTCACTCACTCACTCACATACACACACACACACACACACACACACACACAACACACACACACACCACCACACACACACACACACACACACACACACACACACACACACACACATTTATTTATTTATTTATTTATTTTGCTTATGTTGATTGGTGCCATCTAAGAAGGGATTGCGAGAACAAAATCTCAATATGGGTGCCATTATTTTATGGGTTAAGATATGTTTGTCATTCATTTATGAATAAAGTGATTCCAGGCATGATTAATTGTATGCACTGGGGACTAGTCTAAAGATTGATCTTAAGCAATGGTCACACTAGTCTTCTCTGTCCAGGATCCCACAAAACCAGCTACAGAGCCACGAATGGCCCGACTTACGTACATTGTTCCTCTGTGAGAAACATCGTCCAGAAAAAGCCATAGTGTTACATAACCTCCAGGATAAACTATGAATATATTGTAGATTTAGAAAAATTAAAAAAGAAGACACGACAATCAATTAATCCATTTTGTTAATTGTTGTACATCACACAACCATGCCAGTTACCCTGATACAGTTCCTCTTCCTTAAACTGGAAA